TAGCCTATAAAGGACCAGATTTTATTTCAAAAGGTTTTTTGATATGCCCAAATGCAATGACTTCAGCTAACAACCACCTAGGTTAGGAGGTCCCCAGGCCATCCTTACATCTGAGAGGCTGGCTACAAATCTGGGGGTTCCCACTACCCCTTCAAGTTTCATAATTAACTGAATGACTTACAGAACCCAAGAAAATGTTATTTTGGTTTTATTATAGCAAAAGGATTTTTATATTTATTATAATTATTATTAATTATAGCAAAATGATTCAGGTCAGAACTAGCCAAAGGGAGAGACCACATAAAGTGAGGTCTGGGAGGGTCCCAAAAAGAAGGTTCCATTGTCCCTCTCCTCATGTCCTCAGGGACACATTTTCCTCCCAGCACACTGAGTATTGCCAACCAGGGAAGTTCATCTGAACTTCGGTGTGTCCAGAGCTTTTATTGGGGCTTCATTACAGGCATGACTGGATGAATCACTAGTCATGTGGCTCAGTCTCTAGCCCTTCTCCCCTCTCAGGAGGTTGGGCTAATATCATGGGGCCCAAAGCCCTAACACTCTTATCACATGGCTGACCAACCCCCAATCAAGAGTCATCACATTAGCATCATCTATTAGGTCTAGTCCAAGGGGCCTACCATGAAAAGACACTCTTAACATTCTTGGTGAATTCCAAAGGCTTAGAGGCTACTTCCCAGGGTTCAGACAAATTCTTTATTGTACACTTACATAATATTTATTTCAATTCAGCTACCAACATTTTATAATGAGTGATATTGACGTAAAAATCTGAGTTTTTGTCTTTTCTGCAATATTGACAATTTTAGGCTCCATTTCCAAGCGATTGCTCCTCCTTAAAAAGGGACATGCATTCTCCCCACTATCTCTGTAGTCTCTACTTTCTTATTACTGGTGTGATTCACTTCCTTGTTTCCTTTCTGCCCACTGCAGACATTTAGATTCGCAAATCCTGGCCTAATTCTTGTGTATTTTTGCTGTTTTCACTTCCATCACACATTATTAAATGAACATCTTAAAAGAATGAACATCTAAGGAATGACAGTTGCCTTTTGTCATTTCACTCTTATCTTAAAACCACTCCTCCATTATAGTCTGAGAGGGGGGTGCATGTGTACACATGCTTGTGCCTATGCCGTCTATTTGTCTCGTAAGTCTTGAGCCAGACTGACATGGAACGTTTGACTGCAGAACCAGGACAAGAGCTGAATTAAATTAAAACTCAATGTCATCCTCAGAGTCAAAACCCATAACCAACCCTGGACCTTACAAAGGAAGTCCCTCATTCTGAAGGACAAAACTAAAAGCATGTTTCTCAATATTTTTAAAGCTCTATCTTCCTTCATAAGCATAAAATTCTCACATCCTTCTTTACGTGAAATGCAACCTAAGTAACCGAAAATAAGGCAAACAGGCCAGGTGCAGTGGCTTACACCTGTAATCCCAGCACTTTGGGAGGTCGAGGCAGGTGGATCACAAGGTCAGGAGTTCAAGACCAGCCTGGCCAAAGTAGTAAAACCCTGTCTCTACTAATACAGAAATTAGTCAGGCATAGTGACAGGCACCTGTAGTCCCAGCTACAAGGGAGGCTGAGGCAGGAGATTCCCTTGAACCTGAGAGGTGGAGATTGCCGTGAGCCCAGATAGTGCCACTGTACTTTAGCCTGGGCAACAAAGACTCCATCTTAAAATATATATATATTTATCATTTGCACATTTCATACACCCTTCCTCTCACTGTACCCGCACTTTGAGAATCACTGGTTTAAATATAAGAGGCATGAAACAAGCCCTAAGTACATCAGGAGCCATGTGGACACCTGCAGTCTCTCTCAGATACAGGTGTCAGACCGTGAAGTACAATCAATCCTCAATAGTCATAACTTCTGTATTTGTAGACTCACCTATTCACTAAAATTGTTTATAATCTTAAAACCAATACTTGCAGTGCTTTCACAGTCATTTCATGGACATGTGCAGAGCCCTGAAAAGTTTTATTTCCCCAACACATAGGTGCCCAGTTCTGCCTTTGTAGTCAAAAAGGACACTATAAGCAAGTGTCCTATTTCTGGTCTCTTTATTGGAAAGTTTTCCTATTTTTGTGCTTTTAGTTGGTGATTTTGCTATTTAAAATGACCCCAATCATAGTGCTTAAGTGCTGTCTAGCATTCCTAAGCACAAGAAAGCTGTGATGTGCCTTACAGAAAAAAATACTTGTGTTAGATCAGCTTCATTCAGACTTAAGTGGTAGTGTTGCTGAATATGAGTTCAATGCTAATGAATCGATAACATATCTTAGGATGTCTTTAACAGAAACACACACGAAACAAGATTATGTATTGATTGGTTGACAAAGATGTTGTGACTTAACGTTCCCAGAAACCTAATCCTGTGTTTCCTCTGGGAGAAATGGTTCTGTATTCACTAATTCAGTGTTCACAGAGACTTCACAGACTGTAACTACTGCAAATAACTAGAATCAGCTGTGCTTGTAAAATAGTGAAACACACACAGCACAAAATCACATCAAAGAATGTTGGGGTGGGAGGTGGACGTGGGGTGGAAACCAAGGTTACAACCTTGGTTGTTTTATTTTAAACCAGAAAGTGATGATGGAGTTAATGCTAGCCATCTGTCCCAGGCTAACCAACAAAACCTGAAGGTGCAACACAGTGAACAGAACACTGCACTAGAAGTTGCGAAGCCTAGCTTCTGGTCTCAACTCCACAAAAAATTAACTTAGGCACGTAAATAAAATCCCTCAGCAGCAGTTTCTTCATCTGCTAGAGTTACTCAAATCTGTGGCAAGAAGAAGTCACTTTTGCCATAATTATTATGTACAAAAAGTTTTCACATAAATTATCTCACTGGATGACCTGTATGGCCTCTCTTTACTCCAGAATTATATAACTTAATCATTTTACCAAAAATAAATAATATATCGAATGTTTATAATACTAAGAATTGTCCTTTGGACTGTTTATAATAGACATGTCAGAGGGAAGACGTCAAACATCAGCTAGAAACAACTACAGACTTATTTTTAAATTGAGCGTATTAAATCACTGTTTTCTTTTTAAAAATGAAAGAAAAACATTCCCAGTCTGTGGCCATTCTTGCCTCAAGGCCCTGCACCACCACGAATGTTGTAAATGTGGAGAAGCAAAAGTACCACTAGATGGAGTAAGAACAAAAGACATACATATCTCTGTAGTTCAAGGAATCCCTGCCCTCTTGAAAAAGGGATTTTTAGGCCTGGCGCGGTGGTTAAGGCCCCTAATTCCAGCCCTTTGGGAGGCGGAAGCAGGCGGATCAACTGAGGTCAGGAGTTTGAGACCAGCCTTGCCAACATGGTGAAACTCCATCTCTACTAAAAGTACAAACAAATTAACCGGGTATGGTGGTGTGTGCCTGCAATCCCAGCTACTAGGGAGGCTGAAAGAGAATCGCTTGAACCCGGGAGGAGGAGGCTGCAGTGAGCCAAGATGGAGCCACTGCACTCGACCTCTGGGCAAGACAGAAGGACTCCGTCTCAAAAAAAAAGAAAGGTGGGAATTTTAGATCACCTTGAGCAAAATGAGGCTTAGTGAAGCTGAGCTACTTCCTCAAGCCTCTAGTCAAAGTTCTTGGCAAAATCGTAACTAGAATTTCATTCCTTACTTTCCACAAAACCATGCTGACGCGAAAATACTTTTTCCTTAGAGAACATTACCAGCAACAGTGGACTCTAGAATTTTTTGCACATTTCTTATTTCTAATAGTGATAAGAACAGTTATCTGCTAGACAACTCTGGAGCACCTACTTTAGGTAATAGGTTAAAGAGCTACAAACATACATGTTCATAAATTTACTGACATGATCTTGACTGACCCTTCCAATTATCAGGATACCAGCAGCTATCACACTAAAGGGTGTGCCTTTATATACACACCCCTGGCTGCTGTCTCTCTTAGCAACTATCCCCAGAAGAGGGGTCCTAAGGAATTGAAGGTATGGATTTGGGATGGAGTTACCTTGTCCTTGAGTGGGCAGAATGGCCCGTTTGTTTCTTCCAAACTAGTGGGCCATCAGTCTATTTTCTTAAAGAAAATCAGAGCCAAGAATCTTGTGGGAGACGGGGGCTGGGAGGTGGAACATATTCCTCTGTACATTTCTTTCCCATCTTTAATTATGCCTAGTGTTCCGTTACTGGAACGCTAAGCTTGTGAGGGTTATTTATAACCTACTGCTCAAGGTCATTGCCAAGGTCTGATTTTTCAAAAAAAAATTATTTTTTAACTTCCGGCATAAAGTGACGACCATTTCTTTTTCTCTGAGACAGTTTCGCTCTTGTTGCCCAGGCTGGAGTGCAATGGCGAGATCGTGGCTCACCGCAACCTCTGCGTCGCGGGTTCAAGCGATTCTCCTGCCTCTGCCTCCCGAGTAGCTGGGATTACAGGCATGCGTCACCACTCCCGGCTAATTATTGTATTTTTAGTAGAGACGGGGTTTCTCCATGTTAGGCTGGTCTCGAACTACCAACCTCGAGTGATCCGCCCGACTAGGCCTCCTAAAGTGCTGGGATTACAGACGTCAGCCACCGCGCCCGGACAGGAACACAACTTTCAATTTTCGTTTAGATTTTCTAATTAAATATTCACTGAATGTTTAACGAGCTCTCAAAAAAAATCACTGCTCTCCCACACTCGATTGAGGAGACTGGTCCAGATCTCCTTTGGGAGAAGCAAAAACCTCAACAAAATGTGCAGAGCAGGAACTAAATTGTAATACAACCATAAAAGGAAACAAAAAGCAGAAGACAGGAGAAACTACGCAGGAACCGCTCCAGGTAACGCCGGCTCACTGCCCATTAATTTTGGTCAACTTTGGAGGTGCCTTCACGTCTCCTGCCAATTTGCAGCACACTGGCCCAGATTTCGGGGGTTTACTGCCGGAGAGGGGTGACAGATACGCACGATGGGCGTCCCCCAAGAGCGGGAAAGCGAACTGCATGTGTGAGCCGAGTTCTGGGTGCACGTCCCACAGCTCAGGGAAGCGCGCCGTGCGTGGGAACTCGCTCCGTTCCTCTTCCTGCGGCCTGAAAGGCCTGAGCCTCACCCTCGCCCCCGAGACACCCGCGGCTGACAGAGCCCAACTCTTCGCGGCGGCAATGGGCGCCTCCGGAGAAGCCCCGGGCCGACCGCGGCCTCCAGGCGGGGTTCGGGGGCTAGGCAGGCTACCCGCCGCAGGTCCCCGGGAGGGGCGAACTGGCCAGCGGCTGACATTTTTTGTTTGCTCCAGAATGAACGGTGGAAGGCGGTAGGCCGAGGCTTTTCCGAACGCTGAAAGTCAGCGAGAAAAACAGCGCGCGGGGAGCAAAAGCACGGCGCCTACGCCCGTCTCAGTTAGGGTTAGAAAAAAAATGGCCACCACCCCTCCCAGGCCCACCCTCCGCAACCCGGCGCGCTGCCCGACGAGTCGGCTTATAAAGAGAGTGGTCGCCGACCGCGCGGATTGGCCAAGCTAACTCTCGCGGGAGGGGGGCGCGGGAAATTAAAGTTCCATTTCCGGCCATGAGGAAGGACGCCGCCCCTCCCCCACGTCGGAGAAAGGCTTTGAGTCTACTTCCTACCTTCCTTAAAGGCAAAAATAGCTAGAGGCTTCAGAGGGCCGTTTTTCTATTCTCTGCAGAGCAGACGTGGTTCACCTCGACTACGTCGAATTCATAGGAAGATTTTTTAGGGCCCAGACCACAGAACACCGATTCCCAGTTCTGATCATGATATTTTTTTGGACAACTTTGTGAAAATAGATTGTCAGGCAGCACTGACTAAAGCAGAACCTTGTCTCGGCTCAGTGGAATGGGTCCGAGTTCCCATCCTGTCCCTTCTCCTTAGAATGCCTTCTTCAGCCTCTCCTTGCGCAGAGGATGGCGTTTATCAAGTGTAACTACTACATTATTCATCTTAAGCACCGAATCTCCCTTTTATTAGGAAAGAAAGGCTTTTCCATTATTGACTTTGCTTTGCTTTAAGGTAGTGCTGTGTTGCGATGAGACAAAAAGGGGAATAGTCCACCATAAATTGTAGCAATTTTTTTTTTTTTTTTGAGACGTTGTCTCGCTCTGTCACCCAAGCCGGTATCTCGACTCACTGCAACCTCCGCCTCCCCGGTTCAAGCGATTATCCTGCCTCTGCCTTCTAAGTAGCTGGGATTACAAACGCCCGCCACCGCGCCCGGCTAGGTTTTGTGTTTTCAGTAAAGACGGGGTTTCACCATGTTTCCCGGGCTGGTCTCGAACTCTAGGGCCCGCTTCGACCTCCCAAAGTGCTAGGATAACAGGCGTGAGCCACTGCGCCCCGCCGCGAATTTTTACAATGGCAGGTATAGTGTAGTTTTACATATTACTGACAGGATAATCTTAAAAGTTTTACTCGTGTTCAGTTGGGTAAACTCCGTGGAGTTGTCGCTATAGGTCCTCTATCTGAAAGAAAAGTAAAATCTCTCTCTCCCCTCCCCTCTTTCTTTCATAGCATCTGCCAGGTTGTAAAATTTTGCTTTTTTTTTTTAGACGATGTCTTGCTCTTGTCGCCCGGGCTGGAGTACAATGGCATGATTTCGGCTCACTGCAACCTCTGCCTCTTGGGTTCAAGCGATTCTCCTGCCTCAGCCTCCAGCTGGCTGGGATTACAGGCATGCACCACCACGCCCAGCTAATTTTTGTAATTTTTGTAGAGCCAAGGTTTCACCATGTTGGCCAGGCTGGTCTCGAACTGCTCACCTGCCTCGGCCTCCCAAAGTGCTGGGATTACAGGCGTGAGCCCCTGTGCCCGGCTAATTTTGTTTGTATTTTTAGTACAGATGGGGTTTCACCATCTTGACCAGGCTGGTCTTGAACTCCTGACCTCATGATCCACCCACCTCAGTGGCCGGATTACAGGCGTGAGCCACCATGCCCGGCCTTGGTTGTAAAGTTTTTTAAGGACAGAATCTGACTTCTGTAATCCCATCCACACTGATATTCTCCTTTCTGGAGGAGCTGTAACTTGCACAGGGGTGCTGGCAGGAGCCACCTTTGCTATATCCTTAACTGCTTCTCTAAACCAGGGAAAGAGGTTGATCCCCCGGCAAGGACTGCACTTAGCACAGTACCTTACATAGAGCAGATGCTAAGTGCTTTGAGTTATGTGTCAACACTACCACCATTCTCTTAGCTTCCCACATTATTTCAGACCCCTTTTTTTCCCCTTCATATCTAATTAGCCACCAAATCTTGTTAGTTTTTGTAATTTCTTTTTTTTTAATTCCTATTGTTAATAATCTTGAGTACTAGATTTGCCACTTTATATCTGGACTAGTGACTTTCTAATTGATCACCGAATCTCCGGGGCCTTCCCCATTCAATTTATTCTCCAAACTATCACCACATTCATCATAACATAGTTTCCTTATGGCTCCTGCTTTTAATTTCTCCCCTTTAAGTATTGAATATTTAGCACTTAAAGCCTTTTAGTCCCTGGCCTTCGCTTGACCTGCTCTTGCTCTGCTCTTCACTTAACAAAATCAGTCTAAGCTGGGTGTGGGAGTGCACACCTGTGGATTCAGCTACTTTGGAAGCTAAGGGTGGAGCCCAGGAGTTGGAGGCTGCATAAGCTATGATTGCAGGACTATACTCCAGCCTCATCTTTAGCAACTTGTTCATTTTAGTATGCTCGCCTGGATATCTGCTTTCCATCCCAATGCCACCCCTTCCATGATGGCATACCTCTGCTATGGAGTCTCTTTCCTCACCACAGCAACCTTCTTTCCCTAAACTTCAATAGCTTAAATCTTATCACTCATTTGGCACATAGCATATTGTACCACAAATTGCCCTCTTCCAAAGGAAATATAAGCTCACCAACGTCAACTTATAGAAGAAGCACCATAGAAAACATTATTTTAACTTGGTTCTACTCAATAGACATCTGTTCTTGAGCTTTACCATTATTATCCCCCCCACCCATTATAGAAATACAACAGAAATATTGGCATCCCAATAATTGAGGTATTTTCTATTCTCCAAGAAACATATAATATCCAAAGTTTTCTGTCACATATACTCAAAACATTTTCTTCTAACCAATTTATTTGTATTTCAGAAGCATCTCTGGTGTACTATGTTGGGTCCAACTTCTTTAAATTCTGCAGCAGTGATCCACATGTCCTGAAAGGCAGACAAGGATGCAAGAATAGAACCTCCCATCCACACTGATATTCTCCTTTCTGGAGGAGCTGTAACTTGCACAGGGGTGTTGGCAGGAGCCACCTTTGCTATATCGTTAACTAACCGCTTCTCTAAACCAGGGAAAGAGGTTGATCCCCCGGCAAGGATAATATTGGAAAAGAAGGAATTCCTCAGGCCTATGTCACATTTCATTATGCTGCTGAAACACATCTTATCAATGCCAGGGGCCTCAAGATTCATATGATACGGAGAGAAGAGGGCCTCTGGACAAGAAAAGAGTTGGTCATGGAGCCGGAAGACCTTCCCATCAGGTAGCTGGTAAACTTTTTCTAGACAATCAGGTTTCTTGGCCATTTCTTCTTCATAGTTCGTTGCCACATAACAAAAGGTCTCCTTGATGTCTTCAACAATCTTTCTGTCTGAAGCACTAAGCAACAAGATACCATGGTTCTTCATTAGCACCGTGAGGTAGTTAGTGAGGTCAAGGCCAGCCAGATCCAGCTGCTGCACACCATGAGGCAGACAGTAACCCTCAAAGATGGGCACACTCTGGGTAATCCCAGCTCCTGAATTCAGCACAAGGCCAGTGGTGAAGCCAGCAGCAAAGAGAGCTAGCACAGCCTGGATGGACATATAGAAGGCAGGAACACCCAGATGCTCAAAAAACACCTCTGTGATCTGTTGCCGGTTGGCCAGTGGGTTCCGGGCTGGCTCAGTAATCAAGACTGGACCATCACATGGCTTCAGCTTCAGGTTATCATCATAGATATGCTTCCACATGATCTCCATGTCCTCCCATGAAGTAATGAGACCTCGCTCCACTGGGTAACTGTAGGGAGAGCAATAAGATCAATTATTTTTCTAGTTTCTATTGTCTTCGACCCTCAGTTAATCACCACGTTTATTACCAATATCCCTTTATGGGCAATAACTTCTACAGCCTCTCACAGAAGGTAAATGTCAGCAAAAATTAGCACAGCTACCTACCTCTGCAATTTTTGTTGCTTTCCATTTTCTCTCTCCTTTGGAAGTTTGTGACTCTTAAGAAATTGGGGGTAGGGAGCGGGAGGGAAAAGAAAAAAAGAAATTGGGAAATTTCCACATTATAGTATAGTTTATGTCAATTGACGAGAATAACCCAAGTGACAAAAGGAGCCACGAGTTAAGTAATATTCTTCAATGAACTAGTTCGATAACTTTGTAGTTTGAATACATTTGTATGGCCACAGAGAGCAAAATGTTCCATTTTTCAGTGTGTGGTAGCCTCAGAGATTTGTGGCCTGCGCGTCTGTAGTAACTCCAGCGGGCTGGGACTGACCTGCTCCCGGCTTCCTTATCCTTTCTGTCCCCATAGCGCACATCCTTTGGGCTCCTTCCCAGCCCCCCGCCAGCCTGCTGGGAGGAGGAGGTACCTGATGGACAGCGAACTTCTCCAGGCCTGGGCTTGGTCGCCCACGCAGAGTTCTAGCCCGCCCTGAGCCGCTGGGCTCTGGCCCTTGGCGCGGCCGATAATGTTCGGGTAGATAAACTGGGGCTCCCGGGACCCAGCCAGGCCCGCCTTGATCACTCCTGAGCCGTTGTCGATCACCACCGGTAGCTGGTAGCAGTTCATGCCGCCGCTGTCGCCGCCGGCTCCTGTCTCAGGGCGGCTCTGGCTACCGGCTCTGCAGGGACTGGAACGCCGCGTCACAAAGGCTCCCGGCACCGCCCGGAGAGGCCTGAGTCGGGGGGGCGCAGCCGGAGGGTCGGAAAGGCTCCACGCGCTTGGGATAGTTGGACGCACTGTGCGCCTCACGGCACCGCCCGGTATTGCTTCTCGCAAGAACTGGGCCACCCCAACCCCGGGAATCCCGGAATCCCAGTAGCAGGAAAACCAGATTTTCTCATCAAAAGATTCAACTCCGACACTCACAAATGCATTTCTCAAATACTCAGAAGAGCTGGACGGACGCGGTGGCTCATGCCTGTAATCCCAGCACTTTTGGAGACTGAGGCGGGCAGATCACGAGGTCAGGAGATCGAGACCATCTTGGTCTCGGTGAAACCACGTCTCTACTAAAATATAAAATATTAGCCAGCGCGCGCGCCTCTAGTTCCAGCAACTCGGGAGGCTGAGGCAGGAAAATTGCTTGAACCGGGAAAGCAGAGGTTTCACTTAGCGGAGATCGCCCCACTGCTGACACAGAGAGAGAGAATGTCTCAAAAAAAAAAAAAAAAAAAAACCAGAAGAGCTATAAAAGCAGTTTTATTTTCCAAAGCCACTGAATTCTGGTTAACAGGTGGCGGTTCCGGGGAGTTCTACATCAAAAACGATGAGTTCGTGTCCCTTGTAGGGCCATGAATGAACCTGGAGACCATCATTCTCAGCAAACTGACACAACAACACAAAATGAAATACCGCATGTTCCCACTCATATGCGGGTGTTGAACAATGAGAACACATGGACACAGGGAGGGGAGCACTACACACTGGGGTCTGTTGGGGGGGAATAGGGGAGGGACAGCGGGGGGTGGGGAGTTGGGGAGAGACAGCGTGGGGAGAAATGCCAGATATAGGTGAAGGGGAGGAAGGCAGCAAATCACACTGACAAGTGTGGATCTATGCGACTATCTTGCGTGTTCTTCACATGTACCACAAAACCTAAAATGCAATTAAAAAAAAAAACTAGGGGAGAATGAGACTTAAGCGGGGAAAATTGTCGCAGGAAGGGCGGCAGTGTTGTGGCTTCTGAAACATTAAGCTTCTAAAATGGGCTGGGGGGAAATGTTGGAATTTAAATTATTTTTAAGTACTTTTATTATTGTTTCTGTACCCTGGGCAATGCTTTGTTGTGTTTCTAGTCGTTTCCAAGCAAAATATACTCAATTAAAATAGTAGTTCCTCTCTTTAAAAAAGAATATTTTCGGACTATATACTTCTGGTGTAATCTGCAAGCCTCATTCCCTAGTCTTGATTTTTAGCCTGAAGGACGTGCCTGCCTTTTTGCAGGAAAAGTGAAGTTTCTCAGGTCATATGAAATTCAAGTTTGGAAAAATTTAAAAGTAGATTGCATGTCAGGAAACGCATCGTGGTGTCTGATTCTGCATACTCTGTAAAGCATTTAGAAGCATGCAGTCAACTTAGTACCTCAGCTTGGTCTTCGAAAGCAAAAGTTGGAAATTCAAAACTAATTTTACACGTCCTTCCACCAGAAGCTGAAGGATGGCTTTTTCGCGGCCAAGAGCAGCACCGGGGCGGGAACTTGCGGCTCCGCGCGTGGCTGGCCCTCCTCGGTCTCCGAGAGCGCCCTGCTTCGCCCTGAACTCTGAGCAGCTCGACGTGCGAAAAGGATGTGTAATAAAACGCTTCTTTCCCGGGAGAAAAAAAAAAAAAAATGCACCCAAAAGAAGGGAAACTCGGTAGTGCCTGGTTTCTACCTTGGTACCCAGGCGCTTTGAAAGAAAGTGCATGCAAATTCAAACTTCTGAAATAATTTCAGCACTGTTAAATTGGGTTTAGGTTATTTCACTTTCTGGTTTTTTTCTTTAAATAAATTACATGAATCCCCCTCAATTTGGTCTTAATAGCTTGACAATTGGGATATGACACATACATATCAAGGTCTTTACAAAACCTTTTCGCAGCGAGGTTTCCGTAGTGTAGTGGTTATCACGTTCGCCTAACACGCGAAAGGTCCCCGGTTCGAAACCGGGCGGAAACAAAAATGTGCTTTCTTTTTTTTTTTTTTTTTTCCCCCCTTTAAGTAAAGTGTGACCTTAATATACGCGGGTTTTTAAAAAAACATGCTCTTGACAGCAATTTGAGAGTTTGAACTGTACATACTTATTTTATTCGTTCACCACGTTTTTATGGAAGACTTGCCACGTGGAAGGCGTGCCATTGATAGCAATTTGAGAGTTTCAACTGTACATTTTTATGTTACTTTATTCGTTCACCAAATGTTTTCATGGAAGACTTGCCACGTGGAAGACGTGCCCTGGGTTTTAAAAAATTCGACTCACCAGCTAATACTGAAAAAATAATGTACAGCCTAGGAGAGACTAACGTGTAAAAGTGGCCAGTCCCGTCGCCTCCGGAGCACTTTTGTATTGTCACTTGGTTTTTCATCTTAAGTCGATGTAAATAATCGAATTAAAAATATTCTAGTCCAGACGCAGGAAAACCTTTTCCGGTATAAAGCCCACCTTCCTCTAATGTTGCGCATGCCCACTGTGCTCAGCTGCTCCGTTTTCGAGCATCCTAGACTTCTGTCACCAGGTAAGGACACCCTAGAAGCTGAGCTACAGTTGGCTGGGGCACCCAAAAACCTGGGGGTGTCAAGAGTTTACAGGTACGTAAGCGGGAAAGGGGTACCGAGTCTCAGCTAAAAAATCCCCATGGCTGAGATCCGAGTACACATGCAGCAGTTTCCACCGGTGCGGCCCGAGGAAGGGGAGGATGATGGGAGAAGACGAGCAACTACAAGCCCCCGCACGCAGTGCGCAGCTGGCTTCTGGAAAGAGGCCCGCGATGCAGTGCTGCCCGGCCTCGGCGCAGAGCCCCGGCCAAGCGCCAGACGCTGACTGCTCGCACCAGAATGCTCGCGATGAGAAGACAGGCGGAGTGCTGCGAGCTAGCGAGCCTTCAGCTCTCGTATCCATGACGCCTGCTGCTTCGGGGGACCCCTGGCCTGCTGGGGAGTGGGTCTCCGTGGGCCATCCTATCCCGCCTTGGCCGGCGCCAGACCCCCACGGCCCCGGAGCCTCCCGCGCTGCCACGGGATGACAGAGCCGGACGTGACGCTACCGTGGAAGGAAGGGAGAGGCGGAGCGTGGCGCGGTGACGTCCTCCCAAGATGGCGGAGAGAGAGTGAAGAAATTGTGTTCCCCCTTGGGTTGCTATCGGTGAGTTCCTACTTCACCCCCAGCCCCCTAGCCCCGCTCTCTCCAGAACACTGGCCATTGGAGGGCACGCTCCTTGGAGTTCCGGCATGGGTCGGGGCGAAAGTGGGAGGCTTGAGCTAGGCAGCCGTGGCGGTGGCCTGGGCCAACCTCTGTTGTGGGAATTCGCGGGAGTGGGAGCTGGGCAGAGGGCAGGGCGGCAGAAGCCGAGGAGGGACTGGCTTTGGTTGTCACTCTCGGAAGCCGCCTCGCGTGGAGAGAGAGAGGAGAGGAGGTATGGCCTCCTCCGCGCGAATGATAGAACCTTTGACAGCAAGCCTTGGCCGGGTGCATTCCCCGCTCCCTGGGCAGCCTCCTCGCGTTTTGGAGAAACTGCACTGGGGAAGCTACAGGTTTCGATGATTTGAGAGCAATTTTTTTAAAACTCGAACTGTTCTCCCCCTGTCAGCCCCAAGAGATCATGTCTTAGTGGTTTTAAAAATTTTTTTGTAATACAAGTACGTCTACTGAGCTTGAAAATCTGAGGGTTCAACTAACTGATGTAAAAGCGTCAGGTCTTGCGGTGCTTTTTTCAGGTGATAGACGTGTTTCCATTCACCGTCATTTACTGATATGTCTAAACGATTGTGTTAGTTGGTCGAGGTAAACAAAGATATGCAGCAGCAAACAAAAAACTGCTGCATTCATCCCTTCATTCTTAACCATATATGTTTGATAAAGGTTTTCAGGGGGGGCTAGAATTGTTAAAGTTACGTCTTCTGTCCCTTCCCTCACCAATTGCTTGGGTGAATGTTGACGAAAACCTACGGTTACTGATTTACTATTTCTGTTTGTCTTTTAGATCAAGGGTAAAATTCCATTCTGATATCAAAATGCAGTATTCGCACCACTGTGAGCACCTTTTAGAGAGACTGAACAAACAGCGGGAAGCAGGTTTTCTTTGTGACTGCACCATAGTGATTGGAGAATTCCAGTTTAAAGCTCATAGGAATGTGCTAGCCTCCTTTAGTGAGTATTTTGGTGCGATCTACAGAAGCACTTCTGAGAACAATGTCTTTCTTGATCAAAGTCAGGTGAAGGCTGATGGATTTCAGAAACTGTTGGAATTTATATACACAGGAACTTTAAATCTTGACAGGTAAAGTACACATTTTATTTTAAGTTATAAAAGCTAGTCAGTACTCTTCACAGCTAAAGTAGATTTGTATTTTTTCCATTCATTCTCTGAACTCAAATTCTTCAACTATTTATGCACACAATGTTTGTTTTTATAAAGAAATCAGTATCACTGATTTGGGATAAGCAAGCAATGTTTCATAAGCACAGAAAGCACAGATATTAAACAGTATGATTTCTACTGAAACAAAGCCTATGATTTCACTTATATAAACTTGAACATCAAACACAATGAATTTTTTTTTCTTTTTTCCTTTGATACATGCTCACTCTCACCCAGGCTGGAGTGCAGTGGCGCCGTCTTGGCTCGCAGCAACCTCCTCCTCCCAGATTCAAGCGATTCTCCCACCTTAGCCTCCCGAGTACCTGGGACTACAGGCGTAGACCACTGCACCTGCAAATTTTTTTTATTTTTAGTAGAGGCAGGGTTTCCCCATGTTGGCCAGGCAGCAAACACAGTAAACTCTAAGTAACTTCCAGTTTTCCATTGCTTTTTGGTCCTTAAATTCCTCTGGTCTTCTCTCTCTCTCATTCTCCATCCCTTATGTCTTAAGGTACTTGAGTGGGGTGTAGATGGGGAAGGAAGAACCTCTGTGCTCATATAACAGTGCTGCCATTACCAACCATAAATATCTTCCTGATCTTGATTCTGGAAAATAACTTATTTGGAAAATGAATGGCAGTGACTCCTGTTATCTCTATTAACCTACCAGTACTAATACTGAAGTAAGGTCAGAGATGCTAGAATGCTTCTCTAAGATGCTTACAGCTGTCACTGCATTAACAAGTAGGTTTTGAGGAATCGATAATGCATGCACTGTGTCTCCCCTGTATAATGAGCCATACAATTAGATTAATATCAATACATTTACTGATTGTAGGGGAAGAGTTGGAGGAGATAAAAGCAGAGAAACTGATTAATCTTCTGCCATAGGAAGATTATAGGCTTTGGAATTAGTTCTTGCCTGTCAGTCACTATGTCTCCTTGAGCATGATGCAGTCTCTCTGGGCTCTAGTTTCTCTATATGTAAAAATGAGATGGTAATAAACTACTTTGAGGCTAAACAAGGTTTTACTTGATCCTTATTCACTTCTGGTGAACATTAATTTCTTTCTTTTTCTCTTCTTTACCCTCCCCTCCCCGTTTAATTCCACATTTCTCAGAGAAAAATTAGAAAAATAAATAAATAAAAAACAAAATAAGAAACACCTGAAAGTCTGCTACCCACTGATGACCCCTGTTAACCTTTTGATATATATTAATTCATTCTTTTCCAGATCTCTGTAGAGATGTGCATGTATGCATTAAGCAAAATTCTTCCCTCCCTTTTATATTGCAACTTGTCATGGAAATATACTTACTTAAAAATCTAGAATCAGGATGCTCATTAATCCTTTTGACAAGGAAGCATTCTTGTGTAAGAAGTATCCAGTATGGGGAGGGGGGAGAGAGAAAAGTAAACTTTCATGCTATTTTGGAATTGTTTTTAAATTTTGGTATAATGAAATCTTCAAGTGAGTTCTGTATAAGTTGATTAAAGGAAAAGAACAGTGTGAATTTTGGCTGGTCTTCAATTTAGTGGCTTCCCTTTCTCGATTAGGCCAAAAAAAAAATCTTAAATTGATTTGAATACATGGTAGAGTGCTTTTCTTTGAGACTTCATGGAAAGAACCAATGTGAAGAACAGCCAGGTGTTTTGTTCAGTCTCTTTTGGAACATATCTTTCCTGGGGAGCTGGGGAGCTAATTCTTTGAGTTCAGCTAGAAATGTAAGAGAGTATTTATACCAAAATAGAAAGGCTTATAACTTAGTGATTAAGAAAACAGGTAGAATAATAGAATTAAGTTGTCTCAGGGGCCAGATTACCTTGGTCAAATCTTGGTTCTAACATTCTGTGCTTTTGGACAAGTTGATTTATTTCTTTGGACCTCTAATTATTCATTTGTTTGTAAAATGAGGATTTATAATAGATTTCATAGGCACGTTCTGAAGATTAAATGAACTAATCTTATAAAACATTTAGGCATATACCTGGCAATATGTAATTAAACGACCTTCAGTGACTCTTCACAAGATGAAAGATAAAAGCAAGTTCGGAAGCACTGTTATCTATAATACTTGTAAATGAAAACAAATCTGTTACTCAGGTAAACAAGTGGTGATCGGACTCTTAACTGTGACTTAGATTGCAGCCATCTCCGAAATAGTTTGTATGAATTACTATTTCAGTATTGAACAGTTTTAAGTAGCGCCTTGCTATAATTCTTTTTTTTGAGACAGAGTCTCGAGCTGTCACCCAGGCTGGAATGCAATAGCATCTTGGCTTACTGCAACCTCTACCTCCCCGGTTTAAGCGATTCTCCTGCCTCAGCCTCCTGAGTAGCTGGGATTACAGGCAGTCGCCATTATGCCCAGCTAATTTTTGATAGAGACAGATGGGATTTTCACCATGTTGGCCAGGCTGGTCTTGAACTCCTGACTTCAGGTGATCCTCCAGCCTCAGCCTCCCAAGTGCTGGATTGCAGGCATGAGCCACCACACCCAGCCTTGAACAATTAATGTATGACTTCCTGCAGTCTTATACTGGTCTTCAAGGCTACTTGACCTTGTTACCTGTTTGGTGGTTCATTTTATGGAGCACCAAACGTAATTAGAGACCAAAAGATCTTTGTTAGTGGCCCAGCCCAAAAGACAATTTTTAAAAAGCCACTGTGATGCTAAGTTAAATAAGGTAAAACATACATGTGGCACTTGAGGCAAAGCAAGTTTAATTAGAAGATGATGAGAACATAGGTAGAGATTTGTACATACTGTAGGATACTTCTAGAGATCTTAGAGGTCCATGACACTAGTTATTTTTAATTTTATTTCAAATGTTAGTCCTTTTTAAACAAATAGTATCACCAACACTGTATTTATATTGTTAGCTATGATTAAAACCCTTTTCTGGCTTATACTTAAAACAAAGAGGTAAAGAGATCATCTTCCTAAAGAAACCATGTTTAGGGAAAAAACTCAAGTAGGAAGATTATTTGAGGGTAAGGGGTGTGTGTGTGTGTGTGTGTGTGTGTGTGTGTGTGTATGTTTGTGTATATGTTTGTGTGTTTCCATCTAACATAGTCATATTTTTAGTGTTAATACCAACTCAGCTCTAATTTTACAGCTGAGAAAGTTGAACCCCCCAAAATACTGACTTACCTTAATTAAGTCAGCTAGTAATGCCAGAGCCAGTGCTAGATTAATCAAACAACCTTTTACCACATTGTGAACTTCTGAAGGGCAGAGACTATTTATTTCTTAATATCTTGGTACCATACATGGTAAATGCTGAGTAAACATTTGACTAGAATATTGAACAAGGTGACTTAAGTCTTTGTAACTCTCCTCTCACAAACACTCCAGCAAATTTGGGTTGAGTATCACCAAAAAATGTGGGAGGGTTGCTAGAGAGTTTAACATTCTAAAACCTTATTCCTCTTAGTGGCTTCCTCTGGGCAACACTGGCATCACCAGGGAGTGTATTAAAAAATGCAGGCTGGGCCAGTGGCTCACACTTGTAATCCTAGCACTTTGGTAGCCCAAGATGGGAGGATCACATGAGGCCAGGAATTCGAGTCCAGCCTGGGCAGCATGGTGAAACCTTGCCTCTACAAAAAAATTTAAATAGCCAGGAGTGGTGGCACATGCCTATAGTCCTACCTACTTGGGAAGCTGAAGCAGGACAATCACTTGAGCCCAGGAGTTTAAGGCTGCAGTGAGCTGTCATTATGCCAGTGTACTCCTACTTGCGCAACAGAGGAATACCCCATCTCAAAACAAAACAAAAAAAGAATTGCAGAATCTCAGGCCCCATCACAAACCTGCTAAATTTGAATCTACATTTAACAAGATTCCTGGGTGATTCACATCCACAATGAAGTTTGGGAAACATAATTAAAGTCCCTCACAGGGAAGCAGGAGAAAATAGTAGGAAGCAACTGTCATTAGACTTTTCCTCTTGCCAATCCAAAAAAGTTGGTTGCTATCTGAAGAGGCTTCCGGATGAATGGGAGGAGGTAGTGAGGTGCCAACAGCTATTTTTGTGTTCTAGGTTTTTTAAAAGCCAGAAAATTTAACATTTAATTTTTCTGCAGTTCATTGACAGCTGTGAATAGCCATTATCTATCTCTTGAAGTTCTGTAAAATTGGAGATTTTTACCTAAACATTATTCTGAATGAATTTATAAATATATTTTTCTCCTAATTATACGTCTTTTTCAGCATTCTTCTTCATTGGGTCTTTAAAATACATTGAAGTATATATGCAGCTCTGTTTCAAAAGTTTTTCTTTGATCAGAATATTGTCATGTAGCCTTGTTTCCTTACAGTTGGAATGTTAAAGAAATTCATCAGGCTGCTGACTATCTCAAAGTGGAAGAGGTGGTCACTAAATGCAAAATAAAGATGGAAGATTTTGCTTTTATTGCTAATCCTTCTTCTACAGAGATATCTAGTATTACTGGAAACATTGAATTGAATCAACAGACTTGTCTTCTTACTCTGCGAGATTATAATAATCGAGAGAAATCAGAAGTATCTACAGATTTGGTTCAGGCAAATCCTAAACAAGGGGCATTAGCAAAAAAGTCATCTCAAACAAAAAAGAAGAAGAAGCCTTTCAACTCCCCAAAAACAGGGCAGAATAAAACAGTGCAATATCCCAGTGATATTTTAGAGAATGCATCTGTTGAACTATTCCTAGATGCAAATAAACTGTCCACACCTGTAGGAGAACAAGTTGCACAAATAAATGATAATTCAGAACTTGAGTTGACATCAGTTGTGGAAAATACTTTTCCAGCACAAGATATTGTGCAAACTGTTACAGTGAAACGGAAACGTGGAAAATCACAGCCGAACTGTGCTCTGAAAGAACACTCTATGTCTAACATAGCCAGTGTCAGGAGTCCTTATGAGGTGGAGAACTCCGGGGAAGAGCTGGATCAGAGGTATTCCAAGACCAAACCAATGTGTAACACTTGTGGGAAAGTGTTTTCAGAAGCCAGCAGCTTGAGAAGGCACATGAGAATACATAAAGGCGTCAAACCTTATGTCTGCCACTTATGTGGAAAGGCATTTACCCAGTGTAACCAGCTGAAAACCCATGTAAGAACTCATACAGGTGAGACGGGTGTGTGGGGAGATATAACTATTTTTATACTGTGACTAAAATAGTATATTTTTCTAAAGAGTACTTAGCACACACGACTTGTGACCAAAATTTGGTATATTTTTCTATTCATCAAAGTATTTAACAGTGTTAAACTATTGAAAATTTATCTGTAATTGTAACCAAGTGTTTAATGGCTGTTTAAGTCCTAATGCATCAACTGTTCATACCATTTTCCCTCAAAATAAGCATGTTCATTCTAGCTTAGCAAATATTTAACAGAGACAAAGACATTAAAACTGATAAAGAGAAAATGTAATTACAAATCAGGCCAATTTTCAGATATTGCTAACTTCTCATTACACACTTAGACTTTGTTGACCTTTGAACATGTTCATTAGAATTACACATACAGTGTTTCCTCAGCTTCTACAGGTACCTTTATTTTGCATGTCCTCTGGTGGCAAAGTATGAGCACACATTGGCACTTTTAGATTCGTACTTTTTAAAATGCTGTATGTGCTTCTCTCATGGTGATTTCAGAAACACTAATTTCTTCTAATTCTACTGGTGTTTTCAGTGGTCTAGAAAGATATTTTATTTGTTTTCAGTTCTAGCAGTAACATTTTCTGAATACCAAAGCTAGTATTGTTGATGAAATCTTGTATGTCTTATGAAACTGAAACACTATTTTCTTCTAAATATAAATTTTATTTACTTATTGCTTTAGGTGAGAAGCCATACAAATGTGAATTGTGTGATAAAGGATTTGCTCAGAAATGTCAGCTAGTCTTCCATAGTCGCATGCATCATGGTGAAGAAAAACCCTATAAATGTGATGTATGCAACTTACAGTTTGCAACTTCTAGCAACCTCAAGATTCATGCAAGGTAAAAAACCAGATGAGTTCTTTGATCTTTTAGTCTTTTAATCACCATAGGCTTTTGAATAGACTATTATATTAGAATTCAGGACAGTAGAATTCTAATTGTAGTTCCACCAAATGGTGTTAACACCTTCAAGGAATCACAAGGAAGCCATGGTAGCTGATAGGAAATAAGCAGGCTGGGGGAAGCTACTAGGAAATAAGGTCAGTCTGGTCCAGAAATAAGATCAGAATGGTCCTCAGTGCAATTTAAGAAGATCATTCAGGCTGCTGTTGGATTATAAGAGTGGAATCAGGGTAAACAGGAATCTATAGATAAAACTCAAGCAAGGGTGATGGTAGTTCAGACCAGGGTGGTAGCAGTGAAGGAAATAAGTAGTAGTAGATTCTGGATATATTTTAAAGTTAGAAATAACAGAATTTGCAGACAGATTGTATATGAGGTCTGAAAGAGAGTCAAAGATTATTCTGGTAACCCCTGTAAAGATGGAGTTGCCATTAACTGAGATGGAGAAGGTTTGTGGGTAGAACAGCTTAAGTGGAAGTGTGGAATTTAGGAGTACAGTTCTGAGCATGTTAAATTTGAGATGACTTACACTTCTGAATAGAGATGTGCCATAGATAATTGGTTATCTAAGCCTGCAGTTCAGGGGACTGGTTTGAGCTGAAGTTACCAGCATCAGCATATGACAGTATTTAAAGCTACAATCCTGGATAAGGTCACTAAGAGAGTGAATGTGGACAGAAGAAATCAGAAGATGGTCCTGAGGCATTCAGATTTTACTAGTTCTGGGAGATGGTGTGAGAACCAGCAGAGGTAACTAGGAAGGAGCAGCCAATAGAGGGAAACCATGAAAGTGGGCTGCCCTGGAATCCCAGGTGAAGGAAGTTATTCCAGGTGGGCGTGATCAAATGATCAACTGTAAAATTCTGTGATAGGGAGATGAAGACTGAAAATTGACGTGGATTTAGTGAAGTGGGAAGTCAGCTGTGCTCTTAACAAAAGCATCATTAATAGAGTCTAGTAGAGAAGAAATGGTAGAATACTTGGAGTCTCAAGGTTTTGGCAAAGGGGAGCAGAGAATGAAGAAGCAAGTAAGGTCAAAGGTCTTTGTTTTTATTAATATGGGAGACAGCAGTATATTTGTATACCATAATCCAATGGAGTGAGAAACATGGATGATGTAGGATTGGAGAAATTGCAGAAGTCATATTATTAAGTAGGTTCTTAGGTATACAAATTGGAATTGATGAATTCAGATGAACTGTCATCCTCATGTTATATGAATTTTTCTCAGTGAAAGCAGGGATGTCAGCTGAGAGTGACAATGGGCGAAGAGAGGCTGATGGTTTGAGGAGAGTTTTGATGAGTCAAAGAGTGACTAGACTCATGAAAATAATTGCCTGCAGTATTAGGATCCCACTGACAACCTTATAAAGACCATGGAAAAACTTTTTGAATTGATCTCAAAACTAATGTTTTGATATTTACACTGAAACAACTACTGATTTTAAATACATCATCTTGGCTTGTTAAGGTGACATGAAATAAAATGTGTAAAAAACTTTATGGAATCTTGCTATATAGATTGACCTCCAAATTGTTTTACTTAAACTTTATATTTATTTACTAATAGGAAGCATAGTGGAGAGAAGCCATATGTCTGTGATAGGTGTGGACAGAGATTTGCCCAAGCCAGCACACTGACCTATCATGTCCGTAGGCATACTGGAGAAAAGCCTTACGTGTGTGATACCTGTGGGAAGGCATTTGCTGTCTCTAGTTCTCTTATCACTCATTCTCGGAAACATACAGGTAAGTTTGACAGGGAGAGACTGCCTAAAATAAAGTTACAAATAAAAGAATTTGGGCCTTTACCAAAAGTAGATTGGAAACTTTATAGTTAGATATCTCTCTATACTTCTGTAAGCTATGTTTATGATTTTCACATATCTGTTAAATATAAAGGCTGACTTACTTTCTAGAGTAATGCAAGGTGGGTGAAATAAATTATGTAACTTACACATTAAAATCAGTGAGATAATTTTGATAATATATAAACTTGCAATGAGATGCATTTTGTGACTTTAAAAAATCTTTTCAGCTTCCTAAAGGGTCATCTCCTATAGTTAGGGTTGGGGAGTGGGCTTGGGTTGAACATTGATTTTTTTTTTAACTTCTTAGGACCTTTCCTACACAGATATTCTGAGATTTGCAAATTAAATAATTCAGACGCAAAATAGCAGTTTGGAAGCAAACTGTGTTTTTAGGGGACATTTTTTAAAAGACTTCCCTACTTGCTTTTATTCTCCTTTATTAATATAGTTGATGGCAAGAATAGAAATGTGGGTTTATGAATTTACATGTTCTTAATCATATAAGAATCAAATTCCTTGCCCAGATCATCTCTACTAGAAGGGATATTTGCAGGAATAAAGTTTTAATATATGAAAACTTATGAACAGTATAAAGTAATTACTAATATTCATTTACTTGGATCACTGAAAATACCTCTAAAGTATAATATGGAGAGGTTTTAAATAATATTTCAGAAAAGCTTACTTTAGGTTATTTGTAATTGATAAATATTATATTGGTATAGTACACCACTTCGCTATCTTTTATTTTCCATCTAGGTGAAAAACCATACATATGTGGTATTTGTGGGAAAAGTTTTATTTCCTCAGGAGAGCTCAACAAACACTTTCGATCCCATACAGGTCTGTGTTTAGGGAGAATGTATTACTTTTTGTTCTCTCTTAATTTCTTTTTATGTAAATCTTTACTTTTAAGCCATTATGGACTATATGGTATCTAGTCATACTATACCTATAGCAATATTTTATATTTATCTCTGTATAAATATCAACTTATTTGCTTATCTTGTTTTTTTTTTAGTTGTTTGGAGTATGAATTAAATTTGTTAAAGAATTGTGTTGATTTTCCAAGAAATATGCCAGATAATCAATAGTTTTTAAATGATTTGGATTAAATTGCACAGATATACCAAGAAATGAAAAGGAATAGGTAATACCAATATAACATCAGATTTTCTTATTAAACAGTGTTTAGTATGCAAGTTTTAGAAACAAATTTTAATTTTGACATGTTTATTGTAAAACTAGTTTGTAAATTGTATGAAGAAAATATTGAATGTAAAAAATTTTAAAACAAAGGAAAATGCCACTTTGAAAGAGTTCTGACATTTTGTTTTTAAAAAATTCCTCCTCATAATTCCTGCCTAGAATAGTATGAGTACTTAATTGAGATTTAGTTAAGTTTTTGGTGACTTTATATTCTCATGCGCTTTAGTTTACACCATGAAGAACTGAACAGTTCTTATTTCCAAAGAAGTACAATATTGTAGCATGTTGTCAGTACGTTTAAGTACTTTCTAATAAGTACCTGAGAGCAGAAACAATGATTATTACACATACTTTCCCACAACTATATCTCTTAGCCAGTGTCTGGCATATAATCGACACTCACTAAATATTTCATAGAAGTGCAAAAATAGGTTTTTGTTTATTTGTTTTAGTTTGAGAGTAAATTTCTTTTCATGAAAATGTTCTCTTTCTCTGAGATACAGATGTTTTGTATAAAGGAGCGACTAGGTTGTGTAGAATCTTTTGTTTCACTATATTATAACCAGGTGATTGATAATTTGAAACCAAATTTAAACACTATAATTTTGCCTTGTGTTCATAAACATTGATATTTTTGTCTTAGCTAGCAGCTTTTAAAATATTGACGTTTAAACTTTTTAATTTGTTTTTCAGGAGAAAGACCATTTATCTGCGAATTATGTGGAAATTCTTACACTGATATTAAAAATTTAAAGAAGCACAAAACAAAAGTCCATTCTGGTAAATGCTTTTGTGTGTGTGTGTGTATGTGTTTTAATATAATTTGGTGCTCATATTGGTGCTCTTCCTTAAAATGTTGAGATGTACGCAGTTTAAATTAGAGGTCTATTTTGAAAAGTAGACATCTACATGGAGGAGAGTAGCTTTTTTTGCAGAAACATTCAACTGTAGGTTTCTTTTCATATTGAGCCTCTTATTAAAAAAATACTTGAAACATTTCCTCCTTTTAAAACCTGACTTATTAACAGTCCAAAGCATGAAGGAACATATAAGTAAGCTATCTGTCACTGTTCCTTATACTGGAGTCTGGATAACTCAGGGTTTACTATGGTTATTATGGAAAAAAGGGGTGTTATCAACACTGATCCAGAAATGTTTAAGAGGAAACAGGGAAACAGGTAGCCCTACACTGTTATAATATATCAAAATGGAAAGCCAGACCCCAAGGTTTGAGTCTGTTGGTTAAAATGAATCCTTGAAAAAGTTTCCCTGTGCTTACCATTTTATTCTGTCATTATTAGAAATGACACTAGGTCCCTCTCATTGGTAAAGATGATAGTAAGTCTCTTAAATATAAACATCATAACTATTAAGTTAAAAACATCTGAAAACTGTAGTAAGTCATTAATTTAACCACTTGTTAAATTTCTACAAAGTATATATAACTGTTTAGGGAATATGAACTTGAACAAGGCATAGTTCTGGTACTCAAAAAGCTTACAGCCTTGTGTTTGAGACCAGAAACCTAAATAAATAATTACAAGGGAAAATGTAGGACATAATCAACACAAAAGTACTAAAGGAGATACTAAGTTTTTCTGAGGTAAGTACTAGAAAAAGCTTAATTTTAGGGAACTTGAAGGTTGGAGAAGAGTTCAAAGATGGAGATGGGAAGAGAGAATTCATTCCAAGCAGAGAACATTGTAAAGAGTCACTGGGACAAGAAGGAAACCTTGGCTAGTTGAAAATGAAGATTAGCTTGGGAAGAATACAAGATAATTACAGTTTTAGGAAAGCAAATATGCAGTTTTGTCTACCTAACAAGGACAGTGAAACTGAAATTATGTTGATACTTTAGAGTAACAGGAGCATGTTAAAGCCATTTGAAAATTTGAAGGCAAAAGTACATCTTTTGTCAATGTGCTATTTGCTCCCTTGAGTAGAGCAGAATTTCTCACCTGAAAATATATGAAAGTACCAGACACATTCTGAACTCGCAGAATAATATAAACTACTCATTAAAAGCATTCAGTGAACAAATAGAGTATTTCTTATCACTATTCAGTACTTTCAGGGAGTTAAACGGTATAACTTGATGTTTACTCTCAAAGAATTTCCAGTCTAGTTGAGGATTCAAGGTATACCTGAGTAGAATGGCAATAAGAGACGCCACAAGGCAGCATGTGAAAATTGACAAATGTGTGGTAAAATAGATAAAACAGCTCACCCTGTTTCACTCTTAATCAAGTCCATTTTTTTTAATGGAGTTAGTGCTTGAACTTAACCTTGAGGCCCAGATTGAATTTACATAGATGATGAGGAGGGCATATCTACAAAAAAGAAACTGCTTGAGTAAACGTATGGAGGTTGGAATGTAATTTCTAGGAATGGTAAGTACATTAGTCTACCTCGGGGGTTTAGTTTTGTTTTTGAAGATAATGTAAATTTTTTTCCCTTCCATTATAGGTGCAGATAAAACTCTAGACTCCAGTGTAGAGGATCATACTTTGAGTGAACAAGATTCCATACAAAAGAGTCCTTTATCAGAAACTATGGATGTGAAACCTTCTGACATGACTTTACCATTAGCTCTTCCACTTGGGACTGAGGACCATCACATGCTTCTGCCTGTCACAGATACTCAGTCTCCTACATCAGATACATTGTTGAGGTCAACTGTGAATGGATATTCAGAACCACAGTTGATTTTTTTACAACAGTTATACTGAATGAGAGGAATATGGAATTGCTAAGATGTCATTGATAGCAAACATCTCTGGTAAGGTGCATATATTCATATTAAATTCCCATTCATTTGAGTTGTGACCATTATTTTTCATTCCCTGAAGTAAAAGCACCTGATGCTGCATCACAACTGCAGTGTTTGTTTTTATTTTTGGCTTTTATGTCTATACATACAGCTTTTTAAGGAATGAATTATGTAGCACTATTTTGGGTGGATGAGTTATTTTTCGTTTAAAGCTGTCTTAATTCCATTTTTATTTTGCATTTTAGAATTGCCTTTCATTTACTACATCAGCTAGTTAATGTGATTCAGTTTTGACATGTGGGATTTAAAAATTTTGCCGCCCTCAGAATTTAAGCAAAATCCATGATAGTATCAGCCCAAGAATGTGTTGTTATTTGTAAGCCCCACAGAACAATACATAAACTATAGAGAAAAAATAAAATTTCATATTTCTGCTCATGAAAATTTAGTTACTAAGAATTATGCTATTTCTCTATTAATATATTCTGTTAGAGATAACTTTTCTAATTAAACAAAAACATGTTTCTCAAAATCTAGAAAATTGCATATAAATTTTTGTTCATTTAGGACTCAGTATTTGGAGAAAACCAATGGTCAGTACTTTTGGTTTGAGTTATTTAAGATTATATTTTCAAAATGAACTTTAAATAGATAATTGGTGTTTTTATCTCAGCAAAGACAGTTTCAAAATTTGATTGAGTTTTTTTTATTCAGTTTCTAGAATATTGGAGATGAAAATATACTGAGTTTTCAAATATTTTGGCAAGCCTCTCTTATGCCTGTTAGGCACTTTTTAAAAGAAATACTAAATTCCAAAAAGAATTTTCTAGATATAAACTTAATGCATACTAGAAATCACTTGACTTCTAAATTTGGTACATTTTATTGGGTAAAGAGTTAACAAATTAACTTCAATTATAAGTAAACATTTTGAGTTAACAGAATTAAATATTTTATATTTGAGTTTTCTATAAGTTTTGGGTTTGTTAATTTTATAAATTAAACCACAACTTTTGGTAGTTGTTGTAGTTTCACAATGGTCCATTTCCTTCAAAATGAATATAAAAAATTCCTTATTATCCCGATATTTGCACCACTCATCCCTGTACCACTTTTCTCACATATTAATTTATTTCACTGCTTGATCTTTGGACATGAAATTATCAGTTTCACAAAGTCAGTTTTTATAGTGCTGATCAAATACTATGGTGACATTCTTCCTTTTTTTTACCCCCCTATAAGGCTGTTTCTCTATGTGAGATGACATCATTTCTTATTTCTGCTATGGTGTGGCTTATTTGTTTTCTGCTTTTAAACCACACCTGTTGTACAGTTAGTATGTTTTTTATTGGTATTGGGTTTTTTGGTTTTTTTTTTTTGAGAGGGAGTTTTGCTCTTATTACCCAGGCTGGAGTGCAATGGCGCAATCTTGGCTCATGGCAACCTCCGCCTCCTGGGTTCAGGCAGTTCTCCTGCCTCAGCCTCCTGAGTAGCTGGGATTACAGGCATGTGCCACCATGCCCAGCTAATTTATTGGTATTTTTAGTAGAGACGGGGTTTCACCATGTTGAGCAGGATGGTCTCGGTCTCTTGACCTTGTGATCCACCTGCCTCGGCCTCCCAGAGTGCTGGGATTACAGGCGTGAGCCACTGCACCCATCCTGGTATTGATTTCTTTAATTCATTAATTTTCTTTATTTGGGACCCAAGTCATAGGAACCAATTAGAGGACATAATAAAAGCATTTAATGCTTGTCGTCTGTTGCGATCTTCACTATTTCAGAGCACACACCCCATTTTTTTTTTTTTTTTTTGAGATGGAGTCTTGCTCTTTCGCCAGGCTGGAGTACAGTGGTGCAATCTCAGCTCACTGCAACCTCTGCCTCCTGGGTTCAAGCGATTCTCCTGCCTAAGCCTCCTGGATAGCTGGGATTACAGGTACACACCACCACATCCAGCTAATTTTTGTATTTTTAGTAGAGATGGGGTTTCACCATGTTGAGCAGGATGGTCTCTATCTCCTGACCTCGTGATCCACCTGCCTCAGCCTCCCAAAGTGCTGGGATTACAGGTGTGAACCACCACATCCAGCCCACACACCATATTTTCATAATAAATTGCCACCGGTGGGACTGACCTAATTGAATAGAGTTTGACTGACCTAATTGAATAGTAGATTATTCATCTAAGAAATCTAACTATCCATGTGTATTAAGTTAAAATACTGGATTTAAATAAAATTTATAAAGCATTAGAATGTTCATCTGATGTCTTCTGGATTACATTTGATAGGAATTTATTGGAATGTGAAGAAATTAAAGAAAATTAAAAGACTCAGCCTCTTTAGGAAGTTTGCTAAAATGGAGAGGTTGTGTTTAATTCATATCTTCATTAATCCAAGCATCTAATGAACAGAAAACTGCTACAGTAATGTCATGATTCTCTAAGGGCAATAGTTGCCAAATTTCCTCTAGTATAATTAGTATTTTGCCTTTGCATAGATTGGCCTTCAAATTTATTATTTTTAGTATTATTTGATATAATTGAAAGGCTAACATTGAGCTTTTCTTGATCACATCTGCTTCTTAGCTAAAGTAATTTTATTTAAATTGACATGGCTTGAGTTGTCATCATCTTCTGCTCTTCCAGAATGACGTGTAAAGAAAATTCGAAGACAGTATCCCTTCTTTGCCATTCTTCTCGTAATGCTGTGCTATTATTTATCATAATATGCATATATTTAGTTGTATCTGGTATCATTCTAACACTCATAATTACCATTTTAGTTAAGTCCAACTTTATTATATTTGTTACAGTGCAGTGTTTTGGGAAAGGTCTATTAGTAATTATTTCAATATTACAGATGTTTTTGAAAGTCTTTAGAAGCTGAAGATCTTATTGAGAAACTATTTTCTAAATGAATTTTGTTTTATATTTGTATCAGACATGCCTATTGTATTGTTAGATTTTAGACTATTTTAAAGGAAACCGTAGATTATATAAATTTTTTTGCTGTTTTTAAATGGTATTGTTTTATGTTTAATTTCACAGGATGATTTTGATAGACAAATTTTAGAAGATCTTTTTTCAAAGGTAATGGTTCTATTAGTTCCATTGCAATGGTAGCTTATCATTTCTGTGTTTCAGTCCTACAGAAATTGTGCAAGTGAGTAGTTGAAATAATGTACATGTACTAGTTTTTTCTTAAGTATCCTAAATAGTTCTAACATTTAATGCATATCAGAAACATGTTTAAGAAATAGCAATATCCAGGCCCATTCCACCTTTTATATCTACTGAACCAGACAGATCTTAGGGCATATATATGCTGGAAAAGCCCCACAGGTGATTTTAATGTATACCAAACATGTGAACTATCGTTTTTTTCTTTTTTCTTTTTCAAGACAGAGTCTCACTCTGTTGCTCGGGCTGGAGTGCACTGACATGATTTCAGCTCACCACAACCTCTACCTCTTGGGTTCAAGAAATTCTCCTGTCTTAGCCTCCCAAGTAGCTGGGACTACAGGCATGCACCACCACACCTGACTAATTTTTTGTATTTTTGGTAGTGATGGGGTTCACTATATTGACCAGGCTGGTTCTCAACCTCCTGACCTCAGGTGATCTCTCCGCCTCGGCCTCCCAGAGCCCTGGGATTACAGGCATGAGCCACCATGTCCAGCCTTAAACATTTCTTGGTGTTTTACCTTTGGGAAGCAGTTTAAAATTATGTTCTTGAATATAATTTTCAGTATTTTACCTGGAAATGTTGAGTACCTAGAACTTGATTAGAAATACCATCAGGTAACATTATTTAAATTCTACATTTTTACTCATTTATGGACAATATTGATATGTAGTTAACTAGAGCATTAATTTTTTGCGATAGTAATATAGTCTTCTCTTCTGTCCTCTGCAACCCCTGCCTCTATTCATTCAAAAGAGGTTTGCTGTACAGAGGCTTCTTGGCTTAACAAGTTTATCGTAAGTCAAGGAGTATACTGAATATAAATTAGTTTTGCACATTGTAAAGTCAAGAAATCATAAGTCGGGGACCATCTGTATTTAAGAAATTAGATCATTACCATGTTAAAGACAGTATTTAATTTCAAGAAAAATTTACTAAAACACCAGGATGTGAACATCCACATATTTGGATAACAATATCTGGCCAGTGTTTCAAGTGCTGGGAAAAAATTCAAATCAGAATACATAAAGCTGCAAAGATAAAAAAGAGAAACTACCCTTAAGTTTACAGTCAAATGGAAATCCCAAGCATGAATATAACTAACAATAAGAAGAGCCAGAATGTTGAGTGTTTTAGTAGGGAAAGGCAAGAAAGGAAATGCTGAGCAGTCAATAGGAGTAGAATGGACAGAGAAATGGTCATTGCTTACCTGGATAGGCAAACAAGAGGAGATGGCTGATGGGACGAATTTGCACATAGCTGATGAAGAGTGAACTAGGCAGAATGGAGAGAAAGCATTAAGTAGAGAAGAGATGGAAGTCAGAGGCGTGTCCAGTACTATACATATGCCATGCCATCTTGAAATAGTTTCTCTACCCATACTCTGCTGAAGGAGTGAGATTAGATAGCCAGGTTTGTAACCCATGTTCTCACATGCCAACCACAGTTGTGTGCTGGAGGGCAGGGATTAGACAGCCACATTTCTAACACATGATTCCATACTTGTGACCACAGCAACAAGACATTTTACCAGGGAAAAACAATTCATAGGCCAGACTGAGCTGGTCAGATTCTTTCTCAAAAATTTGAGCAATGACGTTCTGAGACAATCAGGTAATGATATACCTGAAATGAAAAGATCATTTAGAACTGGCCTAGAAGTCAGTGAAGCAACCTGAAGTCTAAAGGAAATGATGAATAAGCAGAGAAAGCTGATCTATAGAATAAAGCTAGGGAATGAAACAGGTTTGCAGAGCCAAGAGACTGCCCTAAAGAGATTCAAAGAGGCCTTAGTTTCTGTCTTTGCAATCCCACTGATGTGACAGAGCCATGATCATTTTCTGCACCTGGATGCCAGTGATTGTGGTTGTTGTATCCTTATGTTAAATCTCCTTTTTTTTTAAACAGGCTGAGTCACTTTATTTTCCTTGTAAGCAGGCAGCACCAAATTGAACACCTAAGCTTCCATCTTGGTGACTGAGAAGATGGTGATGCCATTGACATCAAGATAAGTCTTGAGCACATTTAGAGAAGGGAAGCAATTTTCATGTACCGAATTTGATTGGTGGTGAGATATGTATGAAAAGTCTGGTAGTGGTTGGAAATGGGGCCTGAACTAGGAGAATTTAAAGCTAGAGATACAGACCTTGCAGCTAATAATTTATAGAAATGATAAGGCATCTCCTATACCTGGGAGATGGTATAGGAGAAAAAAAGATGAGGACAGAATTTCGGGGAAAATTCATTTAAAGGATGAGCAAAGATGGAAAAGGAGATGGGAAGTTGCAGAAAGGAAGAAAACCAAGGTGGCACAAATTTTGGGAGACAAAAGTGCCTTTGTAGCAGTCACACGGTACAGAGAATTAGGATGTATATCTGAGACAACATTGGGTTGGATAATTAGAGTACAGTGATCCTTTGGAAGGCAGATGTAGTATAACAGTGGGAGCAGAACCAGACAGATATGGTTGAAGTAGATATTAAGACATGATGAATGAATAATACTATAGAAAAGTTTGAAAGGGAGAACTTAAGGCAGATGATCATTATTTTCTCAAATATCTGAAAAGCATAAACTACTTTTATTTTTGCTTTCAAATTTGAAACATTGTAAAATGATGAGCATAAAATGATCTGCAGCAGTGTAAGGTGAAGTAGTCTTTGAGCTAGGTCTTAAAGGATGATTGCTAAGAGGAAAATGAAATGTATAACACATACAATATGGTTGCAGATTTGCTCTTTATAATTTAGATGTGCAGAGGAAATGAGAGTTTTCCTATGGAACTTATATGTCCTTCCTCTTGAGCCCATACACAGTGGTAAGTCTGGAAAAAATTAACATTTGGTCTTAGCCAGTTTAAAATCTAGTCTGATTTAAAGGGAATAGAATTCATAATATCTTAAGGGATTTTAAGGTAATGCTTAATCTTTTGGAGAAATGCTGTTTTATTCCTGTCCTTTGTCTCTAAAATAGTGTCCAGACTTATCTTACAGGACAGTGGCATCAGGATAGATGGAATCTTTATTGAGCTCTTCCATTCTCTGGACATTATACTGACCTCTGTTATAGCAGGAAGCAGCTTATAAAATAAGTAACCAGGTCTCTCCTAGTCTGATGAGAGCCCAGTTGTACTTGGTTGAACTGACTTCATCTCAGTTCTCTTGGATTTGAAAAACTGTCTGAGGCTCTATCACCTGCAACTCTGCCTCAAGCAGCAGTGTAGGTCAGGTGACAGGTTTACCACATGCACCCCACTGTGGGCTCAAGGTAAGCCTACTTGCTTCCCCTTCAGCCATCTTCTGAATCTCTCTTTAGGGGAATATGGGAACTTGTGGGTCCCTTCCATAGCACACAGGAAGAGATAGTAGCCTGGGAAAGCAAACTCTTTCCAGAATCTGGTAGACTCCTTACTACCCAGCATGTGAAGAATACTACAAAGCAATAAAAAATGAACAATCTATTGCTACATTAAACAACATAAATGAATCATACTAATATAATGTTGAACAAAAGAAGCCAGACAGAAAAAAAGTGTATACTGTATGCTTCCATTTATATAAAGGTCAAGAACAGGCAAAACTACTCTGTGGTGTTAGAAGTCAGGATAGTGATTGTCTATGAAAGGAGGGTGGGAGGAGCTGACAGCACTGACTTGTTGGGAAAGAGGTATGTATATGTTTGTATATATTAGCCTGTATTTATGAAATTGTTATTAACATCTGTCTGTAACACCTAAATAGGTAGAATACTTTTTCAACTTCTGAACTTTAAAACCTTTGAAAGCCACTGGTAATTTGCTACTACCAATAAAACCTTTTTATTAATACTACTTAATAACTTTCAGTTAGATACCTATAACAAACTTCACTTGTATGCTACTTCACTGCTTGTTTATATTTTCAGTGTAAAAATAATTTTAGTCTAGTTCCTTGGCCTATTTCTCCAGGGTTAGAACTTTAGTCTCTATTATAAAGTGTCTTTTTAAAAAAATTACTGCCGGGCACAGTGGATCACAAGGTCAAGAGATCGAGACCATCCTGGTCAACATGGTGAAACCCCGTCTCTACTAAAAAAAAACAAAAAATTAGCTGGGCATGGTGGCGCATGCCTGTAATCCCAGCTACTCAGGAGGCTGAGGCAGGAGAACTGCCTGGAGGAGAACCCAAGCAGGAGAATTGCCTGGAGGAGAGCCCAGGAGGCGGAGGTTGCGGTGAGCCAAGATCGCGCCATTGCACTCCAGCCTGGGTAACGAGCGAAACTCTGTCTCAAAAAAAAAAAAAAAATTACTGTACTCTGGCCAGGTGTGGTAGCTCACACCTGTAGTCCCAGCACTTTGGGAGGCTGAGGCAGGTGGATCATGAGAGCAGGAGATCAAGACCATCCTGGCCAACATGGTGAAATCCCATACCTACTAAGAATGCAAAAATTAGCTGGGCATGGTGGTATATACCTGCAGTCCCAGCTACTTGAGAGGCTGAGGCAGAATTGCTTGAACCAGGGAAGCAGGTTGCACTGAGCTGAGATTGTGCCACTGCACTCCAGCCTGGGCGATATAGCAAGACTCTGTCTTAAAAAAAAAAAAAAAAAAAATTAACCATACTCAGTTTTTCACAGTGGACAGCTATACAAAATTTAATACAGCCATTATGTTTTACACATTTGAGAAAAGTAACTTGTTTTAATTTATGAAAGAAAACCAATAGGGTCTAGAATATTAATCTCTGTGGAAGTACTAAGACAAAAGTATGAAAATTATTTTAGAGCTTCTTTATCATGGCTGTTGACCTACTGGAACAAGAGCAAAACCTGAATTAGATGAGTGGTCATAACATTCTCCATAAGTTGATGTCCAATAATAATGCTTTTTAAGGCCATTGGAGACTTCTGCAAGATATACGTGTCCATCTACCACAAATGGCTCCACGTCTGTATTGTCTGGTTTTAGACGACCCATTTGAATTAAATGCAAATACGCCTAGGATTTTTAAGAAAAGAAAAACTATATCATTAAGAAAACATGAATTCAATTTACAGTCCTAAAAGAAACTTAAATATTTAAATTAGCCATGCTAATTTGTAGTTTAAAACAAAATATTCTCAATTACATTGCTGAATTTTAATATTTTCCAGGTATTGTAGGAAGATTTTTATTCATTTAATTACACACAATGAAATTATAATGTTGCAAAACTTACATCTAAGTTTTAATGTATTACACATGTTTTTGTCATTTTGTATTCCTAGAGTTAATTTTCTATACTACCAGTTTTGTGGACCAAAGTTCCTATAGTCAAAATTTTCAAGTCCCTCTATGTTCTTAAATTGTAATAGGTAGAGGGGCTGGGTAGGAGAGCTATTGTATACATTCCCAAAAATCTGCTGATAGCTAGTTACCCATTCCTTAGAAAAATAAAGGGAATCCCAGATTTGGACATAGAATTATATAGAGTTCATGATCCCCCTGAATCTAATCTGCAGATTTAGGCTAAGAGAGACAATTCTATAGTATTAGATGCTGGCCTATTAATTATTTCTCCATTGTAGAATTTCCTCTATACATTTTTTTGTTTTGTTTTTTGTTTTTTTCTTTTTTGAGACAGAGTCTCACTCTTGTCACCCGGGCTGGAGTTCAATGGCACTGTCTCAGCTCACTGCAACCTCTGCCTCCCGGGTTCAAGCAATTCTCCTGCCTCAGCCTCCCAAGTAGCTGGAACTACAGGTGCATACCACCACATCCAGCTAATTTTTGTATTTTTAGTAGATGAGATTTCATCATGTTGGCCAAGATAGTCTCGATCTCTTGACCTCGTGATCTGCCCACCTCAGCCTCCCAAAGTGCTAGGATTAGAGGCATGAGCCATAATCCTTAGTATCTATTAACAGAGTCATACAAACATGTTGAACTGTCAGTAAGGCTGCCATTATAGAGAAAGGTGGAAATTTAGACATTAAAATATTTAAAAGTCAAATTTCCTTTCTGCTTTAGCTTGTCATTCATCATTAGTTCCAGTTCCAAACTCAATTTATTCAGCTCTGGTATGTAGAATCTAAAGGATTATGGATGTTTTTCTAAAATTAAGGGTTGGTTTTTTTGGGGGGGGGGGTGTGACAATACTGTATGTTTTATTACTCTTTTTAGTGGTGGAATTTTGGTTAGTCCTTTTGCAAATTTTGAGAATTGTAACATCTGCTTTTCCCCATATTCTTTCCAAATGAAAACTGTTACCGTGATTTCTGTTTTGGAAGTATTATCAAAGGCTGTCTGTATTTATGTGAGCAATATGCCAAATATTTTGATAGCTTGTACTATATCTCTCCAGTTCCATATTTTGGTAAAATTGTTAGGAAGCAGATCAGAAATTTTGCTACATCAAATCAATAATTATGATTTTTTTTAACCTTTGAGGAATTAGAACTGTGTCATTCAGTGATGTGTAATACTAATATATGGTATTTAATATCTTTTGTTATTTCAGCCACCAAACTCTCTAGTATCTAATTTTTAGGACTTAGGTTAATTATCAAAACTGCAGTGTCTCACTGTGTAACCATTTCTCAGGCACCTGTAAATATTATCTGATGTTAGAGAGATGATCCCAGAAAAAGCCTTCAGTGAAGGAAAAAACTTAAAACTTACTACACACGTAGCCTCATCAAATTTGTTTCCCCAAATGTAGATATGAGAGAATGTGAGATTTGTTTTCATTGATTGTGAAAGTGCAACAAGTCCTTCTCCCTCTATGTTGTTGCTGACTACTGACAACCTGAAACCAATAGTTCCACAAAGAAAGAATGCAAAAATTAGCAACAGCATTTATTACAAACATTTTCTTGTGTAGTCTTAGCATTATTCTTCAGCATATTTTAATGTAGTGGTAAAAATACTGACCATTTAATTCCTAAAATCCAAGAAACTTAGTTTTCTAATTAGATCCTTCAGGTACCTGGTAGAGGTACTACATTTTGAAAGTCTTTTGTTTTATATTATTAAGTAAATGTTTGGGTGGATAGCAGATATATTTTTCTGGATAAATCCATCCAAGTATTTATTCTTTAGTTCATTCTTATTTTTAAAAGTCTGATCATATTGTATTCTTCTGATTTTTCTATAAGAATTGAGGATAAATAACAAGCAATACAAATTTTCTGATTAATTTGAAGGAACTGTTAATAGAATCAGTCTAATTGTAAAAAACATTACGTTTGAAAAATTGAAATGTTTACTGTAATTTAATACTATGTCAGTTTAGAAGCTCAGTTTTCATATTTCATGATAATCTTAAAGGATTTGAGGTTAGAATTTAAGAATTTGCTCTTCTGTTATTTTGATTAAATATAAAACCATACTAACGCTTTAAGACTCCTGTTGTGTGAAGTAAGAGCTTCACTGAGATAGTTTGCACCTGCATTTTCTATTCTGTTAAAGGAAAGATCTATTACTTCCAGGGTAGTGTTGCTTTTCAGTACATCAGCCACATACACCATTCCATCATGAGTTATTTTATTGCTGGGAAAGAAAAAATAGTTATATTTAAAAATATGAAATAGTGTTTTTATTCATAGTGATAAGATGCTTGAAAACTTTCTGTTTTAGTAAAGGTTTATTTTAGTCACTTGATTTCCAAGAAAGTTAACAAAAATTCACCTTTCATTCTTGTTTACACAACTAAATTGCTCATTCATGTTACAAAAAATAACAGTATAACGTAAATAAATATTAAGGCTTAGGACAAAAGGTTGACAAATGATTGCAGTTTCTAATCACTGGAAATAATGTCTTATAGAGTATCCCAAGTATCATGAATATTTATATAAATTAGTCCCAGGATTTAACTTTGAATTATTAATGTGTAAATTATCACTTACCAGCTGACATCAAGGTAGCGCAGGCTACTGTTCAGATACAGTGCATCACATAACTGTTGTATACCACTGTTTTTCATATCATGCTTACACATGTGTAGTGCAACAAGACAGTGATTTTCTTTTAACATGCGGCCTACATGGACTGTGGACTCTTCCTAAAAATGGATAAAGTCTTATTTCTAAAAAATAATTTTGAAGTAGTACATGCTTATTTCAAACATATGCTGTTATTTAAATTAGCTTTTAAAAAAGGTTATATAGGTTAAAACTGCATTTGTTTGGTCTATTTTAAAAATATCTTTGCCACAAATGATATCTTCTATCTTCTCAGAAATAGGTAGCAGGGACTTGTAAAATATAGTGACTAAGTGATATAAAAGAGGCAGGTTAATTTGTTTTTTTTAAAAAAACAATATTCAGTCATTTCAAAAGGAAAAAGAAAACAATTGGTCCCATCATGTATAGAGCATGTAATCCATCTTTCAAGTCTCTAAACATTTTTTGTACCTTCCATATATTCTTGAATTTAATTCTTGATCTCTACTCTTGATGGTTTTCAGACAAAATACAAAGACATTTCCCAATCTTGGTTTTATATTAAGAATACACTCATTAATCCTGTGATATATCTGATTCTTCCCTTTTATAATCATCTCAAATTCCTAAGAGGTTTTACTCTTGTTTTCTGATCATCAGAAGACTGTTTTTTAAAGTTCCATAATCTAGCCACTTCTAGGCAAAAGATACGTAACATCAATGAAGATTTGAATACCAGGCATTTTAAGTTTTTAACAAAATCAGAGCATATTTTCAAATGAATGGCCCAAAGTGTTTTGTGATATGTGCTCCTACATGACTGCTGTATAATGTAATAAGTTTTTTAGTCACTGGAAATGCTGATGATGAACACAGATAATTATATATATGTTCTTGCTATATATAAAACTACTTTGAAAAAAAGCTTTAAATGAAACCACATAGCAATAGCAGAAAGTACATGAGCTTTATAAAAATCAAGTCTGTCAGATACCAGCTTTACATTTTACTGGCTGTACGGCTTTGGGCAAATATTTTCATCTTGCTGAGTCTGTTTCCGTTTTAGTAAAGTAGTTGAAATTATGCTTCCCTCACACATAAAAGTTAACAAAAAGTATCTAGCACAAAATAAGTGTTTCATAAGCTGACTACAAAGCATTTATTATTGTTCAATATTCTATAATTCTGTATTTGCTGAAATTGCTTTGACACTAAAAAGATATAACCAAAGGAATGCTATATATAGGATGGCTCTACCTAGTGCCAGGCTCAGAGGACAAACCCAGTATGTTTTTGTGTTTGGGCCTTGATTGCAGTTTTAGGCTGCAAAGCTTGAAAGCTGGACTATCCTAACTAAAGGAGGAACTCTTATCAGAAATAGTAAAGGGTTTTAGTCCCATTCACTGAGTTTGTGACTTGATTTGTCTAGAGTGGTATCTGGAATCAGTATTTTTCAAGCTCCCCAGATAATGCCAATGAGCATTAAAGGTGAAGTCCTATATCTTAACAGCTGTTTGTTATCCCATTCTTCCATGGTAATAAAAGAGTAATACTTTTGTTGTTGTTGTTGAGACAGAGTTTTGCTGGAGTGCAATGGCGTGATCTCGACTCGCTGCAACCTCCACCCCCAGGGTTCAAGCGATTCTCCTGCCTCAGCCTCCTGAGTAGCTGGGATTACAGGTTCCTGCCACCACTCCCGTCTAATTTCTGTATTTTTAGTAGAGACAGGGTTTCACCATGTTGGTCTGGCTGGTCTCGAACTCCCGACCTCAGGTGATCCACCCGCCTCAGCCTCCCAAAATGCTGGGATTACAGGCATGAGCCACAGCACCCAGCCAAACCAGTAATACCCTTAAAGGGAATAGATCTGCAGGTTTATATTGGAACAGCAAAGTAGGAAAGCACAAGAGAATTATCCTCTGCAACCATTTAAGAGCAGAATAGTACCCTTGGGGATAGAGAAGGTAGTGGCTGTCCTGGAGAACAAAACAGGCTAGAGCCTAGCTGGCTGTCAGAAGCACCAGACTGAGAGCAACAAGGGTCCTTTTAATAATAAGCATCCTCAGGTGGATTTAGGAATGACACCACTCAACATATTTTAAAAAGAGATCATGCTTATAATGTGATCTCCTGTATGTAAATATATTTCCACAGAGATAAAATCAGAAATTTTTAATTTAGCCTTCAAATCTCCTGTCATGTCC